CCTCGTAATCAGAGGAGAGAGACCCCCTCCTCGTAATCAGAGGAGAGAGACCCCCTCCTCGTAATCAGAGGAGAGAGACCCCCTCCTCGTAATCAGAGGAGAGATCTACATGGGAAATGCGTCTGTCCCAAGCTTCATGGTTCCGGGACCTTCAGCAAAGAGGGCAGGAAGTTTGTACCACAAGGATCCAGAGCAGGACGGACGGGCCTACGGCACACTGCCCACCCTTAACTTAGCCGGGCCACCAACGCTGCCATCAGCCCGGGAGGACGGCGGACTCACCCAGCTTGGGGTCGAAGCGCCAGGCAGGGATGTGGTCGTTCTCCTTCAGGCCGCTGTCTGGAGGGAGCGGCACCATGATGCTGATGGGCTCACTGACGTGGACCTCGGCTCCGCTGTCGCCCAGCAGATGGACGCTGATGGCGGTGATCGGGTTCAGCTCCCACCCGTTGCCTGTGGGTGCGTGGGTGGGGGGGTTGGTTAACACTACAGGGAGTCAGCTGCTTGGGGGGTTCAATGACCCCCGCATTGGACACAGTTAGCCAGATTAAGACCATGAGGGCCCTCTGGTCTGCCCCAGGGCATCGAGAGGTAGAGAGATGCCGCTTAACTACGGGGAATCTATGGCTGGTTCTGCATGGTGCTGATCCATGACAAATGGAAGAGAGCTTGTGCTATATTGGACTGGGTGGGAGGTGCCGTCTGAGACTTCTAGTCCAGTAATGCTGACCAGTATAATACTCCACGCTGTGCAGTACTGACCGAGTTCTAGACCGGTTCCTGCCGTGGAACCACAGACCCAGGGCAGCCTTACCCGTGCCGTTTCCTGAGAGTCCCTGCAGGTATGGGAAGAGGTCAAACTGGCGCGCTGAGCTTGCCACGGTGAGCTGGGCCGTCAGGTTGGCATAGTTGGTGTCCGGAGGAAGGTTCAGGGCCCTGCGCCGGAACTGCACCCAGGGACGAGCCGTCGATCCTGCGCAAAGAGGAGAAGCTTACCGGGGGTGGGAGCACGGAACAAGGGCAGCCTTGGGGACAGCTGAGGGGGACTGTGGTGGAAACGTACATTTAACTCAGACGTCGTAGTCAGAAAGAACGGAACTGAACTACTAGAGGTCACCAGCCCGAAGGAATGAGGACTCTCCCTGTCTACTGCTCTCGAGGGGGGCGGGGTCAAAGGTGGACTGCTGAGGTCACACTGTGTCACTGTGCTTCCATAGTCAGTGTGATGATGTTCAGCCTCTGCTTCTGTTATTAACTGACTGATCAGAATTCACTTTAGATCACTTTAGACTGTTCTCAGCAGTTCTCAAACCATGAGCATTATATCGTGCCCCATACTGCCACCTGCAGGCAGGGTAGCGACATCGTCTCTGGGTTAAAGTACTGGGACTCCTGACTCACATGGGGATTCAGAGATAAACAGACCCTGGCAGGTTCAGGAGCAGCAGGACGCCCTTGGGGTCTGCTCACCGCGGGAGGCAGGGGGCTGCTTGGGAGGAGGTGTGAAGTCTCCTTAATCTGTCCTCTCCTCCTCTCCCCTCCTTTTCTCACAGCAGGACCGGCTGAATACCCAGATAAACGCAAAGTCCTTTCCCTAAAGCATCCAGGTTTGCAGACTATGCAAATTAAATACGGACAGTGTTCAGAAGTGTTCAGGATAGCACATAGTTCAACAATGTACAGTGATCAGCAGATAAGTGTTCAGAAGTACACAGTGATCAGCAGAGCACACAGTTCAGCTGTGTGCAGTGCTCAGGTGATCACAGTGTTCAGCAGTGTACAGAGCATGGTGTGTACTGCATAAACACGAAGGAAAATGCAGGAAAGCCATTATAACCCCCAGATGACCCTGCCGTTGGTGCTGAAATAGAAACAAGCCTTTTCCTGAACCTCCCCTGGGAATTGGGGGGGGGGGGGCAGAATTCCTGTCTGCCTGATAGAACTGCCTCATCCACCCACTCAGCCCTGTCCCCCCACAGAGGCAGGGGCGACAGCAGGGCAATTAAGCCCCAAGACGTGCCCCCCCGACAGCCCAGCAAGCCCTGTGAGCTGGAACACTGATGAAACGTGTCAAGACCAGACAAGTGGCATGTGTGAGCCAACCTTTAATCTGACCATGCATGTTCACTAAACAGTGTGTCTGCAGTGGGGGGGGGAGCAGGGAGCAGGGAGCAGTTTGCCACAACTGAGCTTTTAATCTGAGAGGGTTATGTATGAAAGGGTAGCCCATCCAAGCATTATTTACATCACAGGTTGCCATAGCAGTGCAGGTGGGCGTGGCTCTCACCTGGAAAGCCGGAGACAATGTGGACGACATCCTCGTAGACCATGAGGGCGGCGGCCTTCTCCGGGAGCAGCTCCAGGCTGAGTGAGGAAAACACTGGCAGACACACAGGTCGGGGGTTACTGACGGCAGCACAGACACTGACAGGGCGCACGCGTGTTCAGCACAGACACTGACAGGGCGCACGCGTGTTCAGCACAGACACTGACAGGGCGCACGCGTGTTCAGCACAGACACTGACAGGGCGCACGCGTGTGGAGCTGAGCGTAATAATTGGTTAGAAAGCCCTGAGTTGTGGGGCTCAGTGCTCTATATGAATGGAGGGTCGGCACGCATCTTCTGGCAGCTTGAGTGACACACGTGCTGTGGGCTGCTCCTTCTACAAGGTGGATGCTTCCCAGTGGAGTCAGCGGAGAGATACCGGGAAGCAGCATGCCCCGCCCACCCTTCCCGCAGACCAATCACAGCGAGACGTCACACTGGAGATTCCATCTGGCCAGACAGCATTGACTCCTGCTTCCTAAGCAGTCTAGCCTGCACAGTGCAGTACTTACCCTGAATCCAGTATATACACTGCATTTACCGCATTAACCACAGATTAAACCCTCAGTATACCCTGCATTTAACACCCATTTACCATTAACATACCTTATACTTAACAGTGATGTACCCTGTGTGTACCATGAATCCCTCAGTAAGGCTGAATCACTGAGAATGAGCTCAGGATGGAAAACATTGCAAAACTTTGGTTTCTTATATGAAATGTATTAATTACATATTAATGGCTAATCCCTGTCCCATGTCCCGTTTCCCTGACAACCTGGAGGCTTAAACCAATGATGTGAAAGCGCAGTTCCATTTGTCCCTACGCCGTCTCCACACTGCGAGGCTGCCTGCCCCCCCCCCCGCTGGGAAGCCTTGTTAATATTTTATTTCATTAAAAGCCAGGGCCCAGCATGGAGGCCAGGAAATCCCTCGGCTGGGGGGGGGGGGGGGGGGGGGAGGGGGGGGGGGGGGGGGGGGGGGCGAGACGCAGACGTACCGGGCATTCGGGCCGGCCTCCACGGGGCCGAGTTCGGCACGTAGCCTGGCTTGGTTGCCGTGACGATCAACAGGGAGCCCACCCTGTATGGAAATGTGACATAGGCGTTGCCATCCGGTCCTGAGGACTCCGAGGCGAGGGAGGTGTGGTTGGCGAAGATCTCCACGGTGACCCCGGTTATGGGCTGGTGGGTGCCGGCATCGCTCAAGCGCACCTTCAGCGTAACCTCTGCGTGAAAAGGGCGGAGACTCGTCACCAAAGCAACTAGCAAAGCGGAATGCTACCCTAACGACCGCAGCACCATACATATACGTACTCCATAAATACATATGTACCTTTAAAATCATCAATCCATCCATACCCACTTGTCCTATACAGGATGGCGGGGGTCCAGAGCCTATCCTGGAAGCTACAGGCACAAGGCAGGGAACAACCCAGGATGGGGGGCCAACCCATCACAGGGCACCAGGCAGGGAAGAACCCAGGATGGGGCACCAACCCATCACAGGGCACCAGGCAGGGAAGAACCCAGGATGGGGCACCAACCCATCACAGGGCACCAGGCAGGGAACAACCCAGGATGGGGCACCAACCCATCACAGGGCACAACACAGGATGGGGCACCAACCCATCACAGGGCACCAGGCAGGGAAGAACCCAGGATGGGGGGCCAACCCTTGCAGGATAAACACCTCTAAAATCAGTTTATAAATAATATTTTCTGCATACCAGTATTGAATAATCAGATTAGCTGTTAAGAGACATTTTAAGATTAGGAAACCGATTTTAAAAACAGATGCATTAACCTTTCAAAAGTCACCATGTCAAACCTGTTTAAGTCATTTCCCAGTAACGCTCTGCAGCACAGCCCAGCCTTCCCAGTGCACGCTGACGCCAGGACGCCTCACTGCGAGCGGCCAGATTTCACATTGGCCCTGATCTCACTCAGGAGCTCGGAAAAGCAGCTGCTGCCATCAGGCACCTCAGCTTAACACGCTGTACACAGTTGGCTTTGGGTGTCACATTTTAATGAGTCCCGCTAATTGTTCCAAAGGAAATGGCCCCTTTCTCTTTTCAGGCAATAACTGGCTTGTTCTGGGTAGCAAGAGCTTAAGCATTAAAGTCTCCTGAAGAGACAAAGGGACGTTTCAGGTCGTCAGACACGTCCCAGGTCGCCGAACACAGGCTCACAAACTCACAGCTTCCCGTCTATCACCCACCCCCCCCCTCTGATCTGAACAGTAGAAGGTTTCTCCCCCTTTCCTGTGCAGGATGTGTGGTTGAACACAACATGTCCTTCATATCCTCTCCTTGAAAGCCTATGTTGCAGGCTGACTGGGCCGGGCCGGGCCGGCGGGCCCCCGCGTGGGCTGGGGGGATTCCCGACCCCTCCCCCACGGGTCCCCACACTTTTCCATCAACAGGCGCCCTGGCTTTGACTGAAAAACATGAAAAACAGGAGACATTCTGCAGGGAGAAGGGATGTCCTGTCCAGCCTTCCATTCTCACAGAATAAACATTTACTTTATCGAATGCGAAGTGAGTTTCGCCTCACGGCAGTTTGCTGGTTTTGTTCAGCCCTTTCAGTCTGGATTTTGGTTCCCTTCCCATCTCACCTAAACATACAGCACAGTGCAAATGTCTTAGGCAGTGACTGAAAATGAATGACATGTTTAAATGATCTTCATGTTGGTGTAAGACTATGATCTTACGCTGGTCAAAGCGTGTCAGCTCAGCTACTGCAAAACCGCTCCTAAACTCACTGCAATATTTGCAGCAACCATCCAGTTCACCAGTTTATTTTTTCACTTGACCATTGCCCCATCTTTATTAGCCAATCAACACCTCATTGAGTTATTTAATGAATTAGGTTAAGCCATCCAACAAGATATCAGTAACTTTTTGGAGAACAGAAGATATTCTTGTTTATTTTTACTTACTGTTAATTTGCATGTTACAAATGTTGAATTGTGTTTTTTTCTGAGAAAACATACAATTATTACCAAGATGAATCACCTTAAATATTTTCTTTCACTGCATAGACTTTCTCACAGTGCTGTGTTTATGTCATTCAAACATACTGGTTACTGTAGTCATTCTGTACCTAACAGCTCTGCAATACATCACTGGTGTTTATCTCCTGCTCAGAAAAGTTGTGTAGTATGCAATTCTGTAATGTGATGGATAGCTTTGGGGGGGGACACTCATGATGTCATCCAGTTGTAACAGTTAACACTTATCACAGAACCAGTGCCATAAGATACCCAAAGCGCGACATGGTGAAACTGCACAGAGCCCTACGAATCTGCAGCCTTGCAGTGTGGCGTCCAGCTTGGGTGTTTACGCTGAAGCCTGTGATTAATGAGTGGGGCTCCTGCGGAGGCAGACATGTTATGGAGCAGGAAGGGACCAGAGCCTCATTCTGCCTCGCCTCCATTGTTGTTAATCTCCAGAGGCCTGACCTCTGGCTTTTGACTGTGGTCTCGGGGCTGCTTTGGGACTCGTCCATTCCCCACCCCCGAAGTGCGGAGAGACAAAACGTTGTCACGGTAATGCAACGTGTTGGTGCAGTGCTGAGGTCATTAAGGAGAGGCTTCCATAATGAGCACAGGCTGGGCGGGGCTTTGCAGGGGGAGCGGATAGGGTACAGGAACTGGCGTTTATTAACACCAGGGAAATGCAGCACAGAAACTGAGCACCAGGCTTGCACAGCGGTTAAGGAAACAAACTCATGAAACATAACTAATCCAAAACAATGAGCTGCAAGAAGCTGTTAATGATTTCCTTGAAGGCAATATCTGTGTTTGCATTTTCCTGCTAATTTAAAGAAAAGACAATGTCACTTCAACAGAAGAGATAAATGTCTGCGTTAGGCCGTTAAATCCCCCATCCCAGCCCCTCCATGCTTCAGAGGCTTACATCACTTCCTGTACCCTTTGAAGCCATTTCCTGTACCCTTTGACTTGTGTGGGGAGAGGTGGGACACAGCTGCGCCCCCCCCCATGGGAACACTTGACCTCATTCTACAGCTTTGGCTCATGCAGGCCTCAGGCTGATCGAATGGCACCATTAGCCACAAAAAAGAATAAGATTAATCAGCCCTGACTTGGCTTTCATGAAGCGCCCATGGCTGTTTCAAGGATAAAACCTTCTTGGTAGTAAAATATTCTAGCAATCAACTTAAAATTCAAGTTATAGCTAACGCGCTAATGCTAGGCCTGGACCGGCCATCTGGCATACTGGGCATTTTCTGGGTGGGCCGATGGGTTTGTGGGCCAGCAAAATCACCGGTGACCCCCCCCCTCCCTTTGACAAATTCATTGGGGGGGGTACTCCACCCTACTCTATTTATCATGGAGGGCCTTCACAGTCGAGGGCTAACATAACGATTTTGTACCACTAATATATTGCTCACGCAACTCTCTGCAATGCTATCGTAACTCTGTACTGCTAAAACGACTCTGTACTGCTAATATTTTGCTAATGTAACTCCATACTGCTGTCATAACATTGCAATGCTAATGTCCTGCAGAAGTGTCAGAAGCGTCACAGTGCTTTTTTCTGTGCTGGCTGGACAGATCATGCTGTCCGTGAGGCTGTTCTTATCCTTGTCCTGGAACAGAACCTTCTCAGGGCAGAGCGTCACTTTAAGAGCCAACACAAACTTCGCAGGCCGGTACTGGGGCACTGGGTCGGTAGTGGGGAGGCTGGTGCAGCGCCAGAGGGATGCTGGGTCACACCTCCCAAATATAGACATCACCCATGTGGGGGTCTGGGTCTCAGGGACTCCAGCATGCCAAACAGGGTTAGGACGCTCCAGGGCTTGTGTGTGTGTGTGTGTGTGTGGGAGGGGGGATGGGGGGTGCATAGGTGAGGGGGTCACTGAGCTGAGGACTGGGGGTCAGAGGTGAAGGTAAAGGAAATCGTACTGTGGGTGGAAATCCCAAAGTGGCTGAGAGCCCAGGCTGCAGGCACGGTGCCCATCACACCATGACACTGGGGTTATTGGGATGGATGGGCTGAGCTGTGGGGGGGGGGGGATGGGCATGTTGTTCACTCTTTCCATTCAGAAAGTGACTCACGCCAAGCAAATTCAGCCCTGATGGCAAGATAAGTCACTTCTTCCCCTTGCCCTGAGGCTGAAGGACATTCCTTATGTCACAGTGGCTCTGGGCTATATCCGGGGAATATTCTGGGACACTTATGGCATCACAGGTGAACAGGAGGCAGCCGGTAAGGATGGCAGGAATGACCGGCATGTACCTGTGACCTGAGCCCAGGAATGGCAGGTTTCTGTCCGAATTAAAACGGTGAGGTGCATTGAAGTTTGGAGTTATCCCAACATCGACCTCGTTAGAGATTCACAAACCATCAGATTTGTGCACCAGGAAGATGAATGCATGAGTTCAGTGCAGGTTGAATGTGGGTTCTGTCAGGTTTCCAAATGTACACGCACACGATGGGGCGTCTGGAGTATACAGCGAGCCTGCAGAAGAGGAAGAGCTACACAAACACACAGACGCACCAGGCCAGCTGGAGGGGAGCCGCTCTGACTGAGACATCTGGTCAACCAGCTGTAAATCATTCTTAGCTGAATCACTCTGTTGGAATGTGGCTGAACACAGCGCCCAGTTCTCCAGGAGCAGAGCAGAGATCTGCGTGGCCTGGGCTGGCAGACAGAGAGGAGATCCTCACCTCTAGACTGAGACCTAATGTACCAGTGACATCACGGCTACCATCACAGGGCCAGGAAGACACCGCTTCAGCTTCATAATTCAACAGCCCTTCTGTAGACGCCAAGATCCTTAAGCTCAAAGCTAGAGCTGAAAAAGGCTTTAAAACTTGACTCCTCCCTCCTGTGCAGTGCACACAAAAGCATGAAAAAAAGTATGAAGAATTTATTACAGCATTTGGAAGCTGATGCAAATCTCAGCTTCCCCCTCAATATGCGAACATCTAACGACGGCTGATCCCTGATTGGCCGACATTCCTGCTGGAGGTCGATTGAGAGATCAGCACGTGGGATCAGAGCAGGAGCCTTTATCAGGACTGGTGTTACGATGCAGGGAAACGGGGCAGGGGGAGCGGGGGGGGGGGGGGCTGGCAGGCCCGAGCCATCTGACTAGCAGATGGGGGTGGGTTTGAGTAACGGCCCCCCAGCATGACGTGGTCGTGTTGTACCGAGCTCCCCTCCACGGGGCACGGGAACAGCACCACGTTCCAATCAT